GACAAGCTGAAGAAAACGGGCATCGCCTACATGGCCAATGCACTTTGTGATTTCGTACGCATCAACCGAGAGCGGCATCTAGGCAGAGTGCTGCAGATGCTCTGCGCAGCGCTGCGGCTCAATCCGATGCTGGTGGAGCCGCATATCTATCAGTTGACTATTTGGATGATGTGCGCCGTCAAGCGTAACGAAGTGGAGCTGCAGCTGTACTCCGAGTATCTCGTCCTGCTGTTGGACATGTGCCGGCGCCTGAGTCGCACCGAACGCTTCATTATGATCCTGCTGAAGTCACTGCGCGAATGGCTGCACAACTATGAGCTGCCCAACTTTGAGAGTGGCAAACGCATTCGCAAGGAGCCGAAGCCGGGGCAGGAGCCGGAGCCAAAGCAGGAGCAAGAGCTGGATCAGGAGCCGCTAACCGAGCAGGAAGAAGAGCAACTAATGAATGTCTATGTGCAGCTCTTGCTCAAATCGAATTCCACTTCCAGTTGCCAATCAAATGCAATTAGCTACAGCACAGATGCCCTGGCCCAGACCTGGCCAGCCTCAACGGCTGGCGCCGCCTTCATCCGGCTGGTCAGCCAGCTGATGTCCAAGCCCTCGATCGTCATCTGGAAGAGTCTGCTGCACAGCTTTGCCGAGCTGCTGGAGCCCGACTCGATGGCCGTCCTGCCGTGCAATCTGAACTTTGCCATCGAGCTGCAGGCGACGCTGCTCTCGCAATATTTCCTCGGCACCCGGCTGGCGGAGCACTTACAGCAGCATCATGTGGAGCTGGAGCAGCAGCGCAAGCACACGATGCAGGTGCTGCAGCGGTTCGGACAGTACCTGCTCTCGCTGGAGCACAACCGGCGCACTATGAATGTCTTCCTGGAGTGTGTGGAGCGGGCGAATAACTTCGATCTGCTCCTGGCCTACTACTGGCCGGATGGCTTGGAGCAGCCGCAGTCGACTCCGGCTTTGCCGCAACTGCAGCGCTTTCTCTCCAGCGACGAGTGGGAGCTGATCCATCAGCGCGTGCATAATTTTGGCAAATCTCTGTGCCGCCAGCGCTTGCAGCGACTCGAACTGCAGCTCACACTGTCCGGCTGGCTGCTCCTGCCCGACCAGAGGCTGGCGCCTTGTCCGGATGCGCTAGTGGAGCTGCTGCCACAGCAGCTCTTATGCCACTTGACGCGTGCCCAGAAGGAAATGCGATTGAAGCAGCAGCAGCAGCAGCAGAAGCAACATTTGCCCAATCTTCTGGAGGATGCCGAGTGCGTGGAGCTATTGACCATGCAGCTACTGCAGCAGTTCGTGGATAGCTTGAAGCTGGCCAAGATCAAGGGCTGCCTACTGGCCAAACAGATGCCACAGGCTGCAGATGAAACAGCCCTGGGCGTAACGCTGCGCGATAGCTGTGAGAGCACAAAGCAACCAACGCTGCCCGCTGAATCCACACAGGAGCTAATTGATGCACTGCAGCAGCTGCCACTGGCCCAGCTGCAAAGCAGCCTCAAGCTGCGCCTCTGGCTGCTCCTCTTGACGCTCTACCAAGACGTGCGACGCGCCCAACTACTGCAGCTGTCCAACCAGCTGCTCGAACAGCTCATAGGTAGCTCTCCCAGATAATCCCGCTTCATATATCCTGACGCGCTAACTCTATGTTTTTCTAGATCTTTTGCACTTTGGTCAACCTTTGCCGCTGTGCAGCCATTTGCCGCAGCTGGCGCAGCTCCTGCAGCTGGTGCCGCTCAACATGGATGCGGATGACGCTGCGGATGGGAATGGGACTGAGGCTGAGGCCACTGCCAATGCCACTGCCTGGCGCTTCTATGAGATGTTCTTTGCTCGCTGCATACGTCGCCTGACGCCCGGCAGCGATCTCTTTTTGGCCAGCAGCGCCGCGCTCTTCCGCGAGCAGCTGCCAGAGCTGTCAGCCTCGCATTGCCGCCTCCTGCTGCTCGCCATCGAGACCCTGGCCAGCGGCACAGGCATGCAGGCGCGACGCATGCAGCGTCACCTGCAGCCGCTGCTCGAGATCTATGGCCAGATGGTCAGTCACAAGTTTCGCTCGCAGAAAAAGTCACCCGCCGTCTACAAGGAGTTCGTGCAGCAGACACTCAGTGGCTATGCCATCTACCTGAGCAGCTGCATCAATCGTGCGGCCAAGCAGCAGAAGGAGAACGTCGACGAGGCTAACCAACAGAAGGAGAACGTCAAGGAGGCCAAGCAGCAGAAGGAGAACGTCAAGAAGACCAAGCAGGAGCCACAGCAGGCGATTGCTGTGCCAGTCATCGACGAGAACTTTAGACGCATTTGCAAGATCTACATAGGACATTCGGTAAGCTGCAAAAGATGGATAACTCAGATGCTTCAGACTCTATATGGAAGTCTGTTTAGAATTGTTAGAGGATGCTCCATAGGTGATTGTTGCTCCTTTGAGAATACCTAAACAGGCTGTTTGGGTTTTGTTTAAGAGCATGTAGTAGAAAGAAGAAGACGTCGTAGAACCCATAAATTATATATGTACATATATTGTTGATCGACTTGTGCAATATTTCTTGGCCTTTTAAAAAATATAGAGGGCTTGAAATTTGATATATACATGTATATTCATGTATGCCAAATGCAATTCTATTTAATCTCTGTCTTTTTTTGTTATATCCCTGCATTTATTTTCATCGATAATAATCGATTATTTGAGTATTTGAATGCTACCAATTCTAGAAAGTTACTGTGTAAGTTTCTGTGCTGCATACGCAGAATTAAGGTTTTAGGGATCCCATCATAATTGAAAAAAAAATGTATATAGGAGTAGAGAGATGGACACTAGTAAATAAGTAGATCTACATATATATCTGTTCCGATGGTTAAAATCTAGGTTAGAAATGGTGCTATTTTATTTTTCACAGCTCTATCTGTTATAACTATGCTCTGAGCATTTCATTCAGGAAGTCCAATTAGAAACTTGAGCACTTAAACATATACCGTTAATTGGCATTAGTTAGGTTAGGTTATGGCCAAGACTTTAGTCAGAGAGAGAGAGAGAGAGTCAGCTACAAGAAAGTTCTTAATCTTAAATTTCATTCTTCATCCTTTGCTTTAGCTGAATTATCGCAATGCCCATGCCATACGCTTGCTGAATGTGGCCTTGACGCACCGGCAGCTGCTGCATTTGGACCAGGACGAGATTGAGTTTGTGCTGGACAGCTATTGGCGGCAATTGAATAAGGATATTGCCGCCAGCTCAGCGCTGGACATGGCCAGCATTGAGCCCGCTATTAAGCTCATCATTGGCTACAAGACGAACGAGGATTTTCTGCTGCTGCTGCGAGCACTCGGCCAGCAGCTGGACGAGATGCAGCGACCAGAGACACCGGCACAGCATACGAGCCTGCAAAACGTGCTCGTCCTCATGACGCTCTTTGCCAAGTGCTCGCTGAGCAGCATCAAGGGAGCGGTAAGAAAATGCTTGCCTCTTGGCTAGATCTTGGTTAATCTCCCCCTGTCTTTCGCTCCCACCGTGTAGATGCTCAATGAGCAGTTTAAGCTGATCAACGGCAATGTTTCCCTGCGTCTGCCAGCGCCCAGTGATGCCGCCTATTGCAACCATGTGCTGCGTCTGCTGGAGGCACAGAGCGCCTTAGCCAACAACCGCACCGTGCCACTGAATGGCGAAACTCTGGACTCGATATTGGCCAGCATGCTGGACCTGAATATCAAACGTTTCATTCTAGCCGGCGGCAGCTGGCTGGACTTTCGGCGGCTGCACGCAACGCTGTCAGAGAACTGTTTGCTCCTGCTGCGCCAGCATACCGCACTGATGGCGGATCGGGCCGCACAGCTGAGCGCCATCTGCCAGGATCTGGTGCAGTCGATTGTCTGCTATCGCAGCGAACGCCAGCAGGCGCAAAGCCTGACGGAGGACGAACTGGAGGGGCTGGCCGAGCTGGGGCTGAAGCTGTCGACGCTCATGGCGGGCATTTCAGCCGGGCTGGCCTTGGCCATGAAGCGTGTGGCACCGTTTCTGCTCATTTTCACCATCAAGCAAATGATTGACACCGAAAGACCCACAACGCTCTTCGAGAAGGTAGGCGGAAGAGAGTTTGTTCCGAATTCAATTTAATCTCTTCCTCTATTCCTGAACAGATCAAATTGCAAGTGGATCGATTCTGTCACGAGCTAATCTCCATCTGTGACCATCGCTCGGGTCACTTTATACTGCGCTCCAGCAGCGAGGCGGGCGCACGCATGTATCAGAGCCTCGTCAAGGAGCATGACAAATACCACAAGTTCCGTGGCAAGGTTTAAGCTAAAGAGTTGATGCAAGGAGAGACTAGCATTTACCGGATTAAACAAAGAGACAAGAGATATGTGTATTATGTTTCTATTTGCTTTCGCGTTTTATTCTTTTTATTTTTTTATTTTCTTAAATGAATAAATGTGATTAACATCAAATCATCTAAAATTTTATTAACTTAATTTGATTGCATTAATGCGTGGATTAAAGCTTATTTCCCTCTCTCTCTCTCTATCTTCATAAAATATGTTCACAACTTTGGAACTCAGCTTGATACATTCCACGAGAGAGAGAGAGAGAGAGAGAGAGAAGGAAAGACGTTAGCAAATAAAATTTGCAATTGATTGTATTGATGTATGGATGCATTGACAGTCAGCATCATATAAATCAATAATTTTCATTAACATTAATATCAGTTCTTTTTGCTTGTGCTTTTGCTTTTTGGTAGTTTTATTTGAACTTAAGCTAAGAAATTCTATTTCGATGAGCGTTCACGTATAAGCGTATGTGTGTGCACGCGCGTATGTGTACGTGCCAGTATTAGTGAGTGAGTGAGTGTATGCGTGTGTTTAGCTAGAACCTTGCCAGAATATATATTTTTTATCTATTTTTGATTTGGACTTTTGTTTTCTTCTATTTTGTTTTTTAATTTTTTTTTTTTTTTTTTTTTTTTTGTTCAAGGTACCTGCTCAGTTCTTGTTCTCATAATAGACGTTGGTTACTTATTTTGATTTGTACTTCTTTTTCATTTATAATGCTATAAAGTATACATTCAGTTTTCTGTTTGATTGCACCTGCCTGCAAGTGTGTGCGACTGTGTGCTTGTTTGTGTGTATTGGTAAGCGCACACTTCGCTTAGGCCACGAACATTTGACAGACTTCGCACAGTGGATGCTCGGCTTCTTCCGGACGATTGCCGCTGAATAATAAAATGGATTATGGGAGAGAAGAAGATGAAAAATAAAGGGACACTTACAACAGAGTGACACAAGTGCGGCATATAAACTGGCTGCATTCGACGCACGAATAGCCGCATTCCTCGCACAAGTCAAATGTACAATTGACGCAAGTGCCGCGGATTAGGGTCGGGCGACGGCAGCATGTGGATAGTCGTCGCTCCAGACCTGGATTGACAGTATCCGGATTCATGTCACGAAGTATTATGTTGCCATCGCCAATCAGCTGGTATTGCTCGCACAAATTTTCCGGACTAACGGGAATCGGTGCCGGTGTTGTAGTCTCTTCCTTTGGCTCATCTTTCTTCGCATCGATGTTAGCAGCTCCCTTGAAAAGCATTTTCGTAGTTTTTTCTGCAAAACAAATGTATGTGAGTGCCTGTTGATATGTATCTGTTGATGTGTGCTCATGTTCGTTCATGTATATGTCTGTGCGTTTGCTTTTTATGTGGAAATTTTGCGTACTTACCATGAACCGCCTTCATTTTTTCAGGATCGCACGAGTCGTTAATTTTCTCATTCACCCAGACTTTGGTTTGAGTTACATTATTGTTGCTCTCATCGTCCTCAGAGCGCACACGTTTCAATGGTTTGCCTTCCATTTTATAGTTTTTTTTTTTTTTGTTCTTGAAATTTCGCTGTTTATCGTTCCGCTTAGCCGGCTGCTTCTTTCCGTCACTGCTGCTGCAACTCGAAAGACTATTTATTGGCGATTGGTAGGCCGGCAGCTGTGAGGCCAGTGCTGCATTATGCACTCGACCAGATGAAAAACAAAATAAGTGTTGGCTAACGCGCAAGCGTGCATGCCTGACTATCGACGTGTATGCGTGCGCGCGCTTTTTGCCGTTTTGATTAATTTTTGAAAAAGTGTTTATTCACTTTGGTTAGCGCAAGCGCACGCACACACCCACACAATCTAATTAATTCGATTAGAAATTATTGATTATACATACGTATACATATATCGCTGAAATGATATATATATTTCTACATATGTATGTATGTATACACACACACTTGATTACATCCACCGCAATGCAGGAGTGGCACCAGTTTGAATACAAAATAATTTTGTTGTAGTTTTTATTTGTTTTATTCGTGTAGGTAACTCAAAATTTACAAATCGAAATAAACGTGAAATGAAATCGAAATGACTGAAGGCTAAGCTATATATATACTATATTCATACATGTATGTATATATCATATGTTGGTCCCAACAATTCTGAGCTAGCCTACTTTGATTTGTGTTAATTTTCCTCCATGTGTTTGCGTTATTTTCATATTTTTTTCGTTTTCTATTTTGTCTCTTTTAAGTGCTTGTGGGTTCCCTCTTTTAGTTTATTGCCATGGCGGCCGCCTTTCAAAAATTTACTAATATTCTCTTCGGTGTTGGGTTTCTTGAGGAATTCATTGGTTCCCCCGGCCATGGTCGCTGACTTGTGTTTGTTGTTCTTCTTCTTGATGAATATATCAGATTTGGATGGGTTTGGTGTTGCCCCATCCCCGGAAGGATTGTTACTCTCCCTTTTAGCAGCCAAACGTTGCTCGGCAGCCTCTTCGCGTTTCTTGCGTACGATGGCAAGACGAGCGAGATCGGCACTGGCCTCGCTGGCCGTTTTTTGATTCGAATTGGAGCGCGGCTTCTCACGAGCACGCTCACGTCGACGCTTCTCTATCAATGGATCATTAGTGGCCTTGCCCTTGTCATCCCCATTAAGTAGAGCCAATTTTTGGGACTTCTTAATGGGGCGATTCGGGTTCGATATCTCAATCAACCCCTCAACAGCTCCGCCCAGCTTGCGACCCTTGGTGGTGCCATTTCTGCCTTTGCCACTGGCGCTACTCTTGCTACTATTATTACTGTTCCCATTAACACGGCCAGCCAGATTTCCAAACTCGGAGCCTCTATCGCTGTTGTTCCCTCCCTCGCGGACGGAATCAAGGCTGCTACTGCTTGTGTTTAACTTCTTGAGCTGCGATGACATTATGCATACCTCCAGCTCACGTTCGCGCTGAAGCTCCTCGACTGGAGTAAATTGACGGCTGCGGCCTTTATGATTTGGATATTTTCCGCGTGGCATCTTTTTAGTTATTGCTTGAATTCGTTTACTTTTCGCGTTTCTTTGTTGCTCGTCTAAAAACGTAATAGAAAAAAGAAAAATAAAAGAAATTTGTTACTATTGAATTATTCGCAAAATTTGAGTTTTTTGGAAATTACAATTTGATCGACTCGTTACAAGGCGAAATCAATTACAAGTGAAACGAATGGGATAAACCAAGTCTAGCCCAGACTAGATGAAGTTTATTCCAAAGCCATTTTAGAATTTGGAAGAATTTTGAAACGTATTTATTATTATTTAAATTTGATAATATAATGAGGATTATCGATAGGCATCGATAGGCAACAGCTGTTATGCTAGCAATTTAATAACGGTAGGTCAAGCAAGCAGTTTTTTTTTTTTTTGCAAACATTTTAAGAAAATATCCCGTTTAATAGATAGCTATTTAAGCTATAAGTTATTCAGATCTTAAATGACTACCTTTAATTAAAAACATACATACATATATGTATGTAAATATGAACATATCTATATCTTTCAAAAGTGACAAATAAATAAAACAAATATTTGTATTCTTCTCTTTGGCAAGATTTCAATTTATTAAAAAAAAAACAGTAAAAATATCGTTCTTCCTTTTAGTAGCAGCACATTATCGAGGTGTGGCGATATATCGCGGGTCAATTGATGTTAACGAAGCCGGCAACGGTTAACAGCACCGACTAGCCGAATGATTTTCGATGGTCATGTTAATAGTAAGGCGCCGCACGTTAACAGAGGAGCACTCCACGCGTTTAACAGAGCCGACTCGCCATTCTGAATAAAGAGAAGAAAAAAACCTATCGTAAATCGACTGTGCCGTGGTGCTGAATTATATTGTGAAATTCAATTTCCATAACATTTGGTGCATTGAGGACGCGCCTCTGACAATCCATCACAAATTCCACGTACAGTATACACAGAATCGCGCATGCAACAGGTAGCCAAAGCGACGATCGCACAGCGTGACATTTGCATCAACAGCTGACGCAGACGATTAAGAACTCAGCAACAATAGAAGCCGCGTCAAACAAAACGCAACGCAATTTAATTAGCTCCAGGAGTGTTTCGCAAACAATCAACAAACGAGAAAATGTCTGTGGACGAACATACGCCCGTGTTGCGCAGCTGCATCAAATTGCCTCTGAAAAAGGACGAGCTGATCGAGGTGATAGCCAAGGCCAAGGACTATGCGATCATGCACGGCGCCGCAATGCGTTCCAAAACTAGCTTCAGTCCAGACTCCTTAAACGTGAGTGCTCCTATACAAAGTGTATTGCCACACACAGCTAACGGAATCCTCTCTCTCTTGATGTCCTTTAAGTTTGCGCCCTTTGTGTTGGTGCCGTCGTCCTTTCCGCGCAAGGAATTCGAGAAGGCAATCGCATTGCAGCCGATAATCAATCGATTAATGCACAATGTTGCGCACGATGAAGAATTTATCACGACGACACTGGCGGAGACAATCAAAGTGGATGAGTTTACGGCAAATTTATTTAATATCTATCGCAAGGTTCTAGCCCTTGGCTTTACCCAGGTGAGACATCTTGTTCGTCATCAGTCACGCCCACCCCACACCCGCTCACTCACACCCACACCCACACCCATCACACCAAGACATTCACCCACGTATACCCCTACACACCTACCTCCATGCCCATGGTTAGCACCCCATTTATCCAAGCATATTCCATTGAGCTTTAGGGACTAGGCTGCTAGTGCAGGTATTCTGGGTGAACAGCTAAAGTGATATCTGTCGCTTCCTCTAACGCTCCACACCCCCAACACCCAAACAACCTCTATATATGTATATGTCTGTTTCTGTTGCTCTTTACCTCATATTCCATTATCTTATCGCCAAATCATAAATCCCATAGCCAATGTAGCCAAATCGGCTCAACAGCTAATCTCAAGCGTTGCCACATGATTTATGCGCACATCCTGGACCACTTGAGTACATGGCATCGCTGCTGCTGCTGCTGTTGCTGCTGCTGCTGCCGCTGCTACTGCTACTTTTGCTGTTTATCAACACTGATAACTGCTCATAAAAGAAAAGAATACGATTTTAATTTCTTCTAAAATTGATTAGATCCTTTTTTACTTTCTTTTCGTTTACTCTCCCCACTCTTTATGTGTCTCTCTCTCTCTCTCTCTCACTCTCTTTTTTGTGGTGCTGCTCCTAATGTTTGCGTTGTTGATGTTATTGTTGTTGTCGCTGTTGATATGCCCAGCTTTACGTTTATCTATCCACAAAAAAACAAAACAAAATTTTACTCACGCATTGATTTGAAATTTTCTGCTTTCCTTTCCGAAAAAAAATCAAAAATGAAAATGAAAACCAATGAATATCAAAACCCAATGAAATCTAACAAATTGCGCATAAATCAAAACTCGAATCGATCCGAACAACCGATTCCGCAAATCCGAAAATCCAACCGAAATATCACAAACGAATGGTGTGTGTTGCTCGTTTTGATCGTAATCGTTATCGTATTTCGTATACCGATCTACACACATTCTAAACACTTTACTCACACACACGCACACACACACACACACGCATACGCACATACACTCACATGCGCGCATTTCCATTCGCCACCAAAGCGCATTTCATTGGGCATGCTGCGCAGCGATCTGATGCTGGAGTCCCGCTGTCCGGAGTTGTCGCCCCTGTTGGAGACGAGCGCTGGCGCTGGCAATGATGCGAAGGAGGGGCAGAAGCAGAAGGAGCGAATGGCGGACGCGAAGGCGAGCACGAAGGCGGGAAAGGCAAATCCGACTGCCCAGCCGGGCATTCAGCGCAGCGCTAGCTCCTCATATTGCTGCTGGAAACAAGTTGAGATCAATACGATAGCATCGGGTTTTGGCCATTTGGGACCAGCAAGTAAAACCATACAAAGGTGCTGTCTGTCTCTCTCTCTCTCTGTCTCTCTCATGATCTTTGCTCTCTACCTATATAAATCTCTCTCTCTCTCTCTCTCTCTTTCTATCATATATACACTTGCATTGCCTTGTATATGCCGAAGCCTAACCAAAGCCATCCACACACACACAATTATACACACACAGACATATATTCTGACACGCACACACACACACACACACACGACAAAGTAACCTAAAACAGTTTGCATTGACTAATTATAGGAGCTAAACTTTTGTACGAACCGTTACAAGTCGTTACTGAATACCCTGTAGGAAAAAAGCTTATTATAAGAGTCAAACTTCTATGCAGTACGTTACTGTAAAATACCCTGTAGAAGAATATAAGATGTCAGTATTGCAAATGTCATAAAAGTCGTCAAATTTGTTATCCGATATTTTGAATATATACTCTACAATATATACGTATGTAGAGCCCATGGTACGTTCTCGAAAGTTACATTTTTATATTTATTGTCGTTAGGCTTTTAATCGCGAGATAGTAGAAACTAGAAGGTCTACAAATAGCCAAATTACTGATTATTTAACCAGCAACAGCAATTTAAATGTTAGACTTTT